TGACCTTCATTGTCCTTTTGTAGGATATTGTTTAGAATTGTTTGGAGTACTGGTTTGGTATTCATGAAGTTTCTCAGGTGTTCTTTGTCATGGAAGTACCTTATTTCCCCATCCACTTTGAAAGAGAGTTTTGCAGGATACATCAGTCTAAGTTGGAGGTTGTTGTCTTTTAGGGCTTGAAATACCTCATGCCAGGCTCTCCTTGACTTGAAGTTTGTGTTGAAAAGTCTGCTGTGATTCTGATGGGCTTTCCTTTGCATGTGATTTGTTTCTTTTCTCTAAGTGCTTGCAGTGTTTTGTACTTCTGTTGGGTTTCTGGGATCTTGACTATTGTATTTCTAGGTGATTTTTTTTTTGGCAGTTGGATTCCTATATACCCCACTTATCTGTATGTCAAATTCTTCTCCTGTTTGGGAACTTTTCTGTCATAATTCTGTGAACACTTTTTTTATATCATTTGTACTTTCTTCTGCTACTTCATGAATTCTTAACAGTCTTATATTATTCTTCTTTGCATCATCTAGGAGTGTTGGATAGATTTCTCATGATCCCTTACTGTTTTTTAGGGATCTCTCTTTTCATGGTCACTGACCACAATCCTATCTTCTAAATCTGAATTTCTATCTTCACACTCATTCATCCTGCTATGAATGCTTTCAATAGAGTTTTTAATCTCCTGGAAATCTGTTTGAATCTGTTTCATGGATTCCATTTCTTTCCAATGCTGGCCATTCATGCCTTCTATCATAGTCCTGAACTCATCTATTTTTTTTGTCTGTTTCTGTTCTAGAGTCTCTAATAATGTCTTTTCATTGTGTTCACCATCTCTGTAGTTATCTTGAAAATTGTTTCTGTTTTGAATTTTTCTATAGCCTGATTGATCTGTTTTGTTACTTCCTGTGCTATCAGTTTGGGGTGCCCTGGTGGGTGATTTTCAGACTTTCCCCCCTCATTTTCCCTAGAATTTGCTGTTGGTGAACTGCAAGTCTGTATTTATGCCTTGCTTAAGTGCTTTCTCATTTTTATTTTTGTTGTTTGTGTTGTTCTTGGTTTAATTCCTGAGTTAGTACTTTGATCTTCCTGATAAAGCTTCTCTTTAAGTTTTGAGTCTGTAATGAGTCAGAGACACTCTCATTTTCATAATATCGAGACAGACAACTGATTAAATCAATCACAACCCTTTAGCTCACTTCATATAATCAGCAGCACAGCAGCATCAAGCACAGCTTAGAAACTGACAATTCATGGTAGTTATTAATGTATCACTTTTTACCATGTGAATTAAATAGAAAATTGAGGACCAGCCCAAAATATATTTATAGTGAATAAACTCTTCAATATAGTGATTTTACCCTTCTGGATGGAGTTGGGAACAGGGGGATAATTAGAAGGATAGGAGAAAGTGTCAGGTGAAGCCAGAAAACACAGGATGATCATGCAAACTCTAGGAAACTGTTGAAGACAAGAGGGAAATACAGAGTTCAAGAACAAAGGCAAGAATAGAACATTGTAACAGTAATAGGGAGAGTATAAAGTGTACTCACTTTTTTATACTAATTACCATTGAGAGAAGGAAAAGAGAGAAGAAAAGAAAAAGAAAGAAGAAATCCAAATTAGAGCAGGAACAGAAGCAAAAAGTGAGATGAAGAACAATATGGGAGAGCAAGAAATTGAGAAGGAAACATAAGTAAGAAAAAAATGGACAATTTGAAGATTGTTAAAAAATAAAATTTTAAAAATATAAATTAAAAATTAAAAATAAGAGAAAAAGAAAGAAAAAAATTGAAGGATGTCTTTCAGGGTATATCTCTGCTGTCACAATATACAATGTGGGCATCAATGTGAAAAACTATGCCAATTAGTCTCAGCTAAGCCAACGGCAGACCCCTGAGATTCAGGATGAATTCTGACTGCAAAACCCAAGTTGAGTTCCCTGACCTCGTTCAGGGTTAAACTCTGAAAGGTTCTATGACAAGTTCCAGCTGCCTCTCCTCTGAAGATAGTCCAAGTTCTGATGGAAGGTGGTGACCCCTTCAACTTACCAATTGCGGAGGTCTGGTATGCCTTTATCGCAGTTGTTCTCTTCTGTTCTATCTTCTGGAGCTCAATACAATGGCCTTTATTACCGTCTGTGTCTCTGCAGTGTGGATCCAGGTGTCATTACAACTAGGAGGTCCAAGAGGTGAATGCTGCAGGGGCCCCCACTTGGCTTGGCGGTCCTCACTGATCTGCTCTGATAAAGGCGCATAGCACTGGAGGGTGGGCAAGCTGCTTAGCTCCACACATTGGCTGGGCAGAGCTCACCAATCTGCCCCAATGAAGGGCCAGGGATGATGCTTATTTCTAAAAATAGATCCTGTGGTCATAAGCGTTTTTGTAGTAGTCCAAAATTTCCTATTTAGGGTTTCATTACCTTGGACTATAATAATAAAGCATATATGAGACTTACAGTTTCTGGTTTATTTATGAATATATTATTTTCTTCAAAGGTATTTTAAATGATCAATACCATGCATAAATTATTACCCACCTTAAATGTTGATTTTATATGGCTTATTGCCCAGTAAAATGAATTGGAATCACTTAGAAGTCCCTGTTGATAAAGATACAACTTGAAATATTTTTGTTCATTTTAATACTTTATTTTTTTTTTCATTTTTGGCCTGAGGATAGAAGTAGAATCAATGAGTGAATTGACAAAAAATCAGGAGGTTGTACAAAATGTTGGAAATGTCTAGCTAAAAACAGTAGCTTTATTTTAATTTTTTCTAGTCTGTTTAATTGCCCAAAGGCAGCAACACCCATTTTTTTTCCTTAAGCCATATAAATATGCCCATGTCTTCTCCAAATGCATTATAATTTTCTGTGTACAACATGGACCATATATGTCAAAGAAATCTCATTTTAAAATTTGTGACAATGTGAAATAGGAAGAAAAGGGCTAAAGATACAGTGGAAGTGGTAAGGGTATGGGAAAAGAAAAAACATGAGAAAAGGAAAAAATGGAAACAAAGTCTATGTGAATAGGGGAGGGGGTGAAGGGAGGGTTGAGGTATGGGGAAAAAATGAGAAACAAGATTTGTCATATCATGTAAAGGTACAAGATCCCAATGAAAAATATAACTGTACTGTATACTTAAAAAGTACCAATAAACTCAATGATAAAAAACTTGTGTTGAAGCTTTAGGGACTTAAAAATTACCAATAAACCCAATGAAAATTTGTGTCAAAGCTTTAGGGACTTTAGATGGTAAATAGTTGGAATAAGTTTCAAGCATTCTTAAAGCAAGTGCTACAGTGTCAGATCTTAGAGAAATTGTATATTTTTCTTCTTTCAATCCATGAAAGTGATGGCTATTTTTCTGCATAGCCCTCTTAATTAAGTTTAATAATTGTAGCACTTTTGAGAACTTCTGTGGAAAAAATTTGACTTTGACTTTATTTTTTAAGTAGACTTTAGGTTAATTTGTTTTCTCATATCCTTAATTTTGAATCAGAAACCAGAACAGAAAGATAAACTCAAGGTTAAAGTAATCAGTGAGTAGCATCTAGAAACAGCATGCATTGTGCAGATTCCTTTATGGAACTTGTTTTCTGAAATTTTTATATTTTCATTATTTATCTTTTAAACCTCTCATCATACTAAGTATTCTTGCAGCAGAGAAAATATGAAATTCATGCATTTCACAGAGTTTCTGATTTGTGCTTTTGTACATGTTTAAAGGTGTTTTCATGAAATATATGCCTTCAGAGTACATGAGTGTGTCAGAGTCTAAGCAGGATACAAGTATTGCTTGAGGATTTGGCAAATAGTAATGTGGGTGCTAGAGCTGAAAACAGAGGACTAAGGAGTCAACATAGAGATGAAGAACCACTGGGAATCCACTGCGATCCCTAGGTCAGAAGGACACAAAGAAGCAAGGCTAGATGATAGCCCTTAAGCTATCAAGAGGTTATCAGAGATATTTGGAGTCATAATAAAATTGTCCAGATAAAAGTTGAAACATTGGAGAAAGTGTAATTACTCCTGAGAACCTCTGAGAGAAGAAAGGCAGGCATGGAGTCATGCTTTGGCTTCTTTTATCCTCCCTTCAGTCACCTCTGGCCAGTATCTTCCTTTGGCTGAACTGGACTTTTTGGGGTGCCTAAGAGATATAGGCTGCTTTGTGATTTAGAGCAGAGCAGTGAGATGGCAGGAATGGATCTAAAGCAACAGGCCCAGGCCTGACAAAACTTGGTAGCAGAAACCTAAGAGCATTAATTATGTGCTACATTTTAAAAAATCATAAATAAGGAAAATTACATTTAGTTGAAAATTAGGTTTCCATGTTAACATTGTTTTTCACAGTTTCTTTAATTACCTTCTCATAAATATTTGTCTAAATTTTAAAAACTATTTATAGGCATGTGTTTGAAAGACTAAAATTGAAGAAAGCCATATTTCTAGTACATACTGAAATTGGACCTAAAGCCTTACCTCCTAACAGTTTAGCCAATCAATCTTTCCCATCCATACTGAGGAATAAGATAAAACCAATACAAACATGAAGGTTATTTGTGACTTGAATTCTAAAGAAGTTTATGATCTTGACCAAGTCCTTGAACTTCTCTTTCCTGGAGTGTCCTCATCTGTAAAATGGGAATTGTGACATCCATAATTCTTGACAGGAAAATGTGTCCAAAATAGGGACAGGTATATGGAAAACTCTAGAAAAATTTCTTTTGATATATGAATTAGGTATTGCTTATTGTATACATGAAAAAATAGGATGATCTTATATCTTTTCATACCTTCAAAAGTTTTTTAAATTGGTCAATACTCAAAACTATTTTCTCTTTTTTCTTTCTGTTTTTTTTAACATAGTAATTCTTTTAGGGGTATGAGGTGCTAGAGGATGCACTAATAAGGTCTGAGAAAAGTATTTAATTTAAAACATACCTATTAAACATTTCTGTTTAACTTTAATGTTGCTATTCTTTTGTTCTTCTGCTAAATCTAGATCAGAAAAGTAGTGGAGACTTCGCAAATATCTAAAGAGCAAATGCTAATCAAACAACACAAACAAGTGTGGTGGCAGGAACACCAACGGCTAAATGAACTCAGGTAAGAACAAGGGTAATCTCCATGAGAACATGTATAAATCACTAGCAGTTGCACTTATCTGGTCAAATGTTTTATCGTGTTCATGTTAATTAAACAATTACAATCAAAATTTGAAATTACTATTTGAATTTGAAACAAATTTAAATCTTTTTATTCCCTCAGCTTAATCTCGAATCTTTAAGGGAAAAATGATAATTGTGTCTATCTGCCAGTCACTTGTCTGCACTCCCCTCTCATACTTCAATTTACTTCCTAGTATGGTGTATTATATTATGGGAAGACAAATAGATAATGAAAACATAATGCAACATGCCAAGTATGGCAAAGTAAATATAATTTGTAAATTCCTCATGGTCCAAAATGGCACATTATTCACCTTCACATTATGGGAAACACAGAAGGAAATATGTAAATGATTTCAGTGTATGGATGAACAAATTAAACTAAGGTGTGCAAGTTGTTCAGTAGTTTTCTTTTTTTTTCTTTTTGATTGAGTTTATTTGTACTTTTTAGGTATACAGTACAGTTACATTCATCATTGGGATCTTGTACCTTTACATGACAGATCTTGGTTCTCATTTTTTCCCCATACTCTTGTCCTTTCCTCATCCCCTCCAACCTCCCCTATTTATAGACTTTGATTCCATTTTTTCCTTTTCTCATATTATTTCTTTTCCCTTATTTCCTTTCCCACTTCCCCTATGCCTTTAGCCCTTTTCTTCCTATTTCATGTTATCAGTTATACAATTTGAGTCTTATTTACCCTTTTAGTTTTACACACAGAGAAACTATTTAATACTTACACATGTATGACTTACTTATTTCACTTAAGATTATGTCCTCAATATGCATCCATTTTCCTATAAATGACTTTAATTTCTTATTCTTTATGGCTGAGTAATATTCCATTTTATAGAAAAACCACATCTTTATCCTGTCTCCAACTGATGGAAAAGTGGGCTGTTTCCAAGGTTTAGCTATTACAATCTGTGCTGCTATAAACGTGGGTGCACATATATCACTGTGGTATGATTCTTTTAGTTCTTTTGGAAAGATACCCAGCAGAGGGATAGCTGGGTCAAGTGGAATCTCTAATCTTAGTTGTTTAAGGTATCTCCATATTGATTTCCACAGTGGTTGCACCAGTCTGTACTCCCAATGACAATGGAGAAGGGTTCCTTTCTCCCCACAACAAGGCCAGTATTGGTTATTGGTTGCTTTCTTGATAGCAGCCATTCTTTCTGGGGTGAGGTGGAATCTCCATGTTCTTTTCATCTGCATCTCTCGAAGGAAGTGTGATGTTGAACATTTTTTAGTATATTTATTTGCTGCTTTTACTTCTTTCTTTTCTTAATGTAGTTGCATCATGACTTATTCAATTTTGATTTTCAATTTTTGTTATTTCCAGCAGCCACTTAAAACTGAATTGAAGCAAAGTAATTATATATTTGATATTAATTGTAACCTTTAAAATAGAAAGTCTTTTCAAGAAATCAACCAGTAACACCGTTGGCAAGGGTTGTGGGAAGAAATGAACCCTTTTTCATTGTTGGTGGGATTTCACAGTGCAACCACTGTGGAAATCGATATGGAGATACCTTAAATAACTAGAATTAAAAGTCCCATTTGACCCAGCCATTCCTCTGCAGCATATTTTTCCAAAAGAATTAAAATTATATAGACTTTATTACTATACTTTTACTATAAAAACTAAAGCAGACCCATTTTACCCTTCAAAAAGTCATCTTTATAGAGAGAAAATGTTTGAGCATGTTGAATTTTTAAAAATTTGCATAACTTGAAATATGATAAAAAGGCAAGATATTAGGAACCTTTAATTATGGTGGTCACTGATGCAAGCTCGAGTGTAAAAGAAGATGCTGGGAAACGTTTTTTTTTTTTTTTTTTTTTAATCTTGACTGTCCCACATCCTCCTAATTTGTGTATTAAGTTGTCCTTGAGCTGGATAGAGGAAGAATGTACATATCATTATGGCAAATAATTCTGTGGGCTGACTTGGAATGACAGAAAGCCAGTGGAAATGAGGAACACTGTAGTAATAATGACCGTAATGTCCTGAAACTTTTAGTGGCTGAAAATTGGACAAAAAAATTCCAAGATAATTTTCTGTTCTATTCCATAATATAGACTAATTTTATTTTATTTTATTTTTGAGACAGCATCTCACTACGTAGTTGAGACTGCCCTGGAATTCACAATGTAGCCCAGGCTTGTCTCAAACTCACAGCAATCCTCCTGCCTCAGCCTCCCAAGTACTGGGATTACAGGCATGGGCACCACCTCCAGGCTTGTCTCAAACTCACAGCAATCCTCCTGCCTCAGCCTCCCAAGTACTGGGATTACAGGCATGGGCACCACCATGCCCAGCTAGGCTAATTTTAATATGTGTTCAGTGAATTTAAAAACTAATAGCAATACGAGTTAAGGAAATGTTTAGATTTGTGAAGAATTAGGGTTCACCAGTAAATCAGTAGTTTCTCTATCTGTATTTGTCAATCTTTAAAAATCTACACTCACTATAAATAAGTAAAAGATTCTTATCCTTTACCAGAACACTCCATTTGAGAATCTTAATCCTGCAGAAGACAAGTACCTGCAATGGTGTCTAACTTTTAATGGGTAATTTAGTTTGTGTAGGTATTGTGCTAAGTACTTTACATATTTTATTTCATTTAATCTTTGCAATGAGCCTACAGTGTAGGTATGTAACATTGCTATCCCAGTTTTACATATGAGACTGAAATCTCAGAAGAGTAAAATTAGTTGCTGGATGTAAATGAACTAATTTACATAGAGCTGGGGTTGAGGCATTTGCACCTCTTTCCTCTGCTCTGTGACCTCAGAGTTGGGCAGCTTCTTTTTTTTCCCCATATAATTCCATTTATATGGTATAAGATCTCATTGGCCTACTCTTGCTAGCAGAGGTGGGGAAAGAAAAACAAATTTTAATTCTTTGAAAACTCAACAAAGTTTCCAAATTGAAAATTATATTCAATATTTAAATGTTTTATTTATTTAATTTTATTTAAAATTTGACAGCCTTACTCAAACTACACCCTTGAGACTCTGATATACTTTTCTAGAGGTAGTTACTCACTGGCTGCATCCTGGTAATTCTGGTACCACAAAGAATCCTGAATTTTTGTGTTATCATTTGCATATGTGTATATATATATACACATCCTCCTTTGGTGGTGCTGGGAATTGAACCCAGATCCTTCTCACTGAGCTACATCTCCAAACTGTGTTTTATTTTGAAAGATGGTCTTGCTAACTTCCTAAAGTTGGCCATAATGATCTCTAACTTGCAATCCTCTTGCCTCAACCATCCAAAGTGCTAGGACTACAGGTATACACTCCCACATCCAACTGTTCATGATGTATTAATCTATGCAGCACAACTACCTGGAGATAAATCAGCTGATAAAGGGTGTTTTGAACCCTCAGGAGTCTAGTTTAAGTCCAGGTTCTTATCCTTCCTGGATAGTGCCAAATTTCTTGGTGGAGGATCAGTCTCATCTGAACCAAAAAAGTACCCATAGCATCTTTCTTCTTACAGTTTATGTGCTCTATTGGGGTTTTCTGGGTGCTGAAAATGTAAGGGAGTTTGGCTGGGTTTTCAAGTGCTACAGTTTTGATTAAATGACTCTCTTCTGAAATAAATTCTCGTTTGATTCTATTTGTAGCAGTTGCAAATTGACTTTAAAAACATTTCTTAATAAACTACCTGCTGGGAAAATAGATGGTGAAGTATAATTTACAATAGCACTTCTCCTTTATACATACAAACAAATACAAAATTCCTATCTTGTGTGAGTAAATTGACTTAGAAGATGATGAACTACATTAAAATGAAATATAATACAGCCACTAAAAGGATAGTTATAAAAACTATTTAGACATTATCTAAAAAATAAAAAAATACTCTACAATATAAAATGATAAAATTGCTATTATGAGAACTATACAAAATACATGTAGTTAAGGCCTGGAAACTTGTTGGCCAAAAAATGAAGCTAATTATGTATTAAAGTATTTTAATTGTTGCTATTTTATTTCATATAATTTTAATATTGTACTTTAACAATCATAGTAAAGCAATCTCTTCTCTGTAATTTAACTGCCATCAGAAGGAATAAAATACAGTATTTCTGGATGCCCATTTTAAGAGTTGCTTATGAATTTACTCTAAAAATTGGCCTTTTAACTATATTATAAAGATTTGTTCTAATATGTAAAAATATGTAAAAATAAAATATACTTTTTCATTTCTCTGGTTCAGAATCTAATTTCTTATTCTTTTTTAACTGGATTTTTATTAGTGTATGTTTGCTATGCATGATAATTACATCCATCTTGCAGAACTGCTACATATACATATTGGATTCTAGTCATTTTCACTTCCCCTTCCCTTCCCTGCCCTACTGTTTCCCCCCGAAACCCAGGCCCTCTTCCTCTCTCTGCAAAGGAAGACTTTGAAAGTGGCCTTCTCGTGGGTCCGTTTGTGTAATTTCTTCTCTTTCCTTTCTATTGCTCACCCCACCTTCAGGTTCTGTTTTTGTCTTGCTGCTGTGTGAATCTTTCTCCAGCACAGATCTGAGCAGGTGAGGACAGCTTGATACCCTTCAGCTGCGTCCCAATGTCCCAGCTGGTCTCCGGCTGAAGTGGTGCCAGCCCCCGCTGTGAGCTGCCTTTGGTCGTGCTGTCACTTCTGCTCGTTTTTTAGGGATTTAGCACATTGGTCTGAATACACGAGCACTCAAACAAAACCACATTACAGTGAACATTCCTACTACCACTTATTTTTAAACCTGTGTGCATAATGGTGATCAGAAAAAAGTTGACCGAGATCATGTCTATTTCAGATATAAGCTGGAATCTGAAATAAAATCTTTTCTCAATGAAGAGCACATTGGAAACGAGTGTCTTTGTGAATTTATGAATTTTGGTGAGATTTTTTTCATCCTGTATTTAAAGGGGAATTTTGTATTAATGAAAATGGGCCATTTACTTCATGTACTTTTAATATTAATGGCCACTTTTTCTAAAGTAACAAAAAATTTGCATTCTCAATATCTGTTAAGAAACTTAAAATAATAATGTGTTTCCCTCATCCAATTTTGTTTCACCACAGAACAAGAATTATCAAAACAATTGAGAACATACCTTAAAGATGTGATAGATCCTATTCATCAGCTGAGAGCAGATCTGCAGTACAGGCTGCACCACACCTTACAGCGTTCACGCCAGCATATGGTGTTTAACTCAGGCCCAGTACTGGAAGAAGTCAGTATGTTACATTTAGCTTTGATCATGTAATACGAAACAGTTTGAGAAAAGAAACAAACATATGTGTCTCATGTATTTAAAGAGATACTCATTCAGTATCTTAAACGTATGTCTGAATCTGTCCAAGCACCCTCATTTCTCATAATTGATCTCCCTGCTCCCTTCCTTGCCCCTCCTCCCAGGACACTGGGATCCTACCCCAGTTCTTGGGATCAAGTCATCCTGTTGCTGAAATCCCTCAGGCTCCTGTTGGTCCTTCTGTCCTCCTACCATTCTGACCGCTTCACTGATGCTTCCATTGATTCCCACCTGGCACTGTCCCCTTCTATAAGAGCTGGGTACCATGATGTGACTGCCTTTCTGTGCCTCCAACATGTCAGGCTTGCTTTCGGCTCAGTCCTTTAGGCTGGCTATTTTTTCTGGCCCATTGATGACATTTTCTGTCATTTGATTCCAGGCTTAAATGTCCTTTTCTTTGAGAGACCTGTCCTAGGAGCCACGGTTGCTTCCTGTCATACCCTGTTTTTGTGTCACTTTCTCCTCTTGATGCTTTCTAATGTTTTTTTGTTCATTAGTATGTTGACTGCCTCCCCTTAACAGAGCACCAGCTATCTCATCGGCTCTGTGAGTTTGGTTGTGGTAGGTGCAGTTTACATGACTTTTGTCCCTCTATTTCTGAGCTGTTCTGTAATATTATATTGCTTTCAAACATAATAAATTTAAATCTATGCCTGACTGGGGACTAGAGGCACGAATGTGTAGGAAGGAAGGAACAATTGAAGCACAGAGACTCTGCTAAGTTCTCTGCCTTATCATGAACAAATGCAACTATGGGCCCCGGAAGGCGGTGACCGTACAGTGGGGCCCCTTTTCGATTATGTGTCTGGAAAGCCTCACGAAGGCTCGTTTGTGGGACAAGCCCTCTCTGGCCAACCTTTCTTTCACATGTCCTCAGAGAGATTTTTCCCTTATCTCGTTTTCCACCACTTACTGGCTTTTGAAAATAATTCTCATCTTTAAGTATATATATTGGAGGAATTGCTATAATTTGCGTACTGCTTGTTTCATGTGCCCTCTAGGTTGACTTTGTGAAAAAACAATTAAAGGCTGTCTTTGCAAGCCTTAGCCAGGAGCAACAGAAAATAGAAAATGAGCTTTCAGACTGGAGTATGAAAGTAAGTGGGATGCAGCTAGTAATTTACCAAATTTGTCATTTATATTAAATAAAATAACAGTATAATTTTCTTTTCAGGTAATCAATTATTCTTTAGAAGAAAAAACTAACATACTTAGTGAACTACCTACAGAATTAGAAAGTTTGGAATGCCCATACCCTGAATTGAAATCATCAATCCTTAATGAGTTCTGTGATTTTACAGAGAAATATCAAAAGAAACTTCACGAGTTTGATCTGCAGTTAGCAGACATATACAGGTAATAAGATAAAACTACTAGAACCCTGAGATATTTGATACTAGATTTTAGTTTGAGGTCAGTATATTTCTGATTTACTGTTTCATTGTTAACTATGTGTTGGAATACAATCAATAAATGTTTAGATGGACTATTTGTTGGAGAGGGTTTTTTTTTTTCCAAAATAGTTTCCTTGCATAGTGTGTTTTTTGTTTTGTTTTGTTTTGAGGCAGGGTGTCACTATAATAGTTCAGGCTGGTTTTGAGCTCACTACGTAGTTTAGGCTGGCCTCGAACTTGCAGTGATCCTCTTGCCTCAGCCTCTGGTCTTTACTTCACAGGTAAGCATGGTTTTCAAGTATGAATTATCAATAGCTACAAATATTTATTTTAATATATAAACTCTTCTAAGTGGAAATTTACAAGTCAGCACTGACAGGTAACTATAATGGAAAATACACTTATGGAACTATGTTACTCACAATCAGTAGTGATTTTTTCCTCTAGTGAACACAGAGTATATTTCTAAATTTTTGAAAGCTTTCTTTTGTATGTAAATTTTTTCTTGAGAAAATAGGCTTTTGGTTTTATCCCGAGAATGACAATCCTCTTCTAAATGACAAATGGTCAATGATTTAAAATTTCATTTTGGCAGTGATCATCTTCTCTAGTGTCTTCTATATTATAACTTACATAAAGGATACATCCAGATATGCCACCCTGAGTCAGATCCATGATCTAACTTAGTGCCTTATGTGACATTTCTAGGGAACTTTTTTTTTTTTTTTTAAACTGCTTCTTTCTCTGTGATATTGGCCTCAGAATTTTCCCTAAAGTATTTACCTTCAAAAAGAAACAACAACTACTAAAGGGACCCATTTATAGAAAATTAAAAATGAGAGGTTCCTAAGTTTGAAATCTGAGACAATGAGTATAACAAGATATTTCTTATATTTATTATATTTCTTATTAAATGCGGTGAATGCGGTTCTTCTCTATGAAACTACTGGTATTAAATAAACGAGGAAAACCTTAAATCCTGTAGCACCAAGTAGATATCTGTATGGGTAGCTTCTAGAGCCAAATTCTTCCATGTCAGCTGTTAATTCATTAGCATGCTCGCAGATGATAGAACCAATCAGAGGAGAAGTCAGAGCTCTTCCTGGCCTTGCCTCCTCCTTGACCTTCTGGGAGTTGTTCTCGTGTTCCTCCAGGCCAGAACCCTTTCTGTTTCTGGAGAGCATCTCTGTCCCTACCTCTTGCCCTTACTTTCTCCTTTCTTACAGTATGATAAAGCTAAACAATCAATTAATAATATGTCGTGCATACTCCAGAAGAAGTTGGGATTCACAGCTACGTTGAAATTACTGAAGAGAATTAGATGAATGCACACGATGTTATAATATTTCTGCAGTAGGAGGAATGATTAAGAATAAACCAGAAAGACTTGGTGGAGGAAGGAAAACTACTATGGACTTTGAAGAATGGAAGGTTTAGCACAGACAGAAAATGGGTAGAAAGAGCATCCTAAGGGAGAAGATGAAATCATTAGACTATAAACTCCTTGAGGACAAAGTTATTTATTAGCTATGTCTGTGTCCTTAATACCTATCACTTTCTATACATAGTATCTTGTGAGTTGAACTGAAGGTTAAAATAGTAAAGGAAAGAGTTGTGTGGTATGTTACCAGGCAGTAGAAATCTAGTTTGGAGGTATATAAGATTCATAAATTCTATTTTAATAGTCTCTGTCCTATAATTATCCAGAATACATTTTACATAATTGCTGATGATTCTTACTCAATGAGTATTTATTAAATAATCCTCAATATACCCTGGTCTCTGCAAAACTCCATGGTAGGAGGTTCAGCAGACAGATTAGTCTACACGTATCAACTCCCCATGATAAGCATAACCATTATGTACTGCAAACATGCACTAACAAAAAATAGAAAATGGCCTTGACTCTGAGAAGGCTTGGCATGTTTGGGGGGAGAAACATGTACACATGTACCCCAACCAAATAAAAATCACATGCAAACTTTAATTGAGGAAAATGTGAATACACTGGTACCGAATATTTGAAGCACCAATAGGAACTGGATGAATTTTCAGGAAGAATTTCCTTGAGGTGAAAGAGAATAAAAAGAATGTTCTGAATAAAGATAGAGGACGTTGATATTGGTAGTCTGTAGTTGGTAAAAATATGAATATACTATTGTCACTGGCAAAATTAATTACATGTTCAGTTATAATATTTATTTCACTTCTAGTTTTCTAGGAACTTACATGTACTTTGATATGGTCATTTCTCTTTTGGGAGAATTCTCATAGATTGTGATCATATATGTACAGCCCTGTGACAGTGAGTATTGTATGCTTTCCAAGTATTGTTAGTCCACATGATTGTTTTATACCACAATACCTTGGGTTTTTAGTTTTTTGCAGCTAAAAACATCCCTAATTGGACACAATTACTCTCTGGAATCCATAATTTACATTAGGATCACAATAGTTACTCTCCATTTTATTCTTCAATTTATTTCTGTAGGGCAGTTTGCTAGAGCATTTCCAGTCACAAATGTTACATACCCTCTGTCCCAGTAGTTTCCACATTTCCAAAATAAGTGTTACCTTGGTTCGGGAACTTAATTCTTTCCAGAATTCTGGTCACAGAATTCATTCCATGATTCTGGCTGCAACCAAACTGCAAGCCAAATTGTAGAAAGAATTGATATTACTCTAGAATGTTCTCTTTCCAGATGATGATTAAGAGGCTAATAGAAAAAAATGGTGCCAGGTACCACAACAGCAACAGAACTTTGCTGTTGTCTGGATATTATTCTTTTCTTTGTTTTGTTTTTTTTTAATGGAATGTGTTGAATGTCTATAATTTTGTTCTGATCACTGCAGAACCTGGAAAAGCTGTTGCTGCTATTGATGCATAACATACTATTATTAGTCTTTTTATATAAATATATATATATACGCACACGCACAC